GGGGGGGGGGGGGGGGGGGGGGGGAGAGGGGGGGGGGGGGGGGGGGGGGGGGGGGGGGGGGGGGGGAGGTGAATGAGGTGGAATTTTTAATATATGGTGCAGAATCTGGTCGAAAGAGGGATTATACAGCATCAAGTTGCTGGCCAATGTTTTGTCTGTTTTTACAGCTGAGGGACGAAACACTGACTGCTTCTTCGTAAGCTTGTCAAATATATGATTTGTAATTCTACCTGCTGCCCTAATATTAAATTATATATAAGTGATCCAAGTACAAGGACGACGAAAGGGACTGATCTGAAGAGAACCCGTTTATGGAAGGTACGGGATAGGACTGTATGAAATGGAATTTACTTATCAAACGTTTCTGGGGAATCTGGCTGACCTGTTGTAGACATCATTAACAGTGGGATGATGCCACATAAATTTGATTTGGACACTTCCATCTTTATCAGACCGAGATAATACCAGCTCAACGTTACGGAATTTAGCTGTGTTAAATTTAGCCACGCAGGAATATTGCTGTTTTGAACATATCCGAAAGTTTTGTTATTGCTGATTTTCCGTTTTATCGAGCAGCTGTTGTTAGAACTGTTTCGCGAGGGAAGGCAAGCAAGCTAGTGCGGGAATTCTGGATGGGGAATTGGTGCTTTACATGCTCAGTTTTGAAACGAAGTGACTTTTTCTCACTTGTTTTTCTTGTCACTAATAGTACTGTTTACATCTGTTTCAGAGAATTTTGAACAAAAAATTTATTAAAAACCAAGTTGAAGATTGAAACTGTTCTAGTCTGAAAAACTTCTACTGCTGTATTCCTCCGTACACACACAAGAATGAACACATTGAGAAGCCGTTACTCAAATGCAGCATGCAGCCACCGATTTACCTTTGATGAGCAATTACGTGAGAAATTCTGTGAACGCTTGCGACAACCGTCCAATACTGTACATCCACGTTATCAGATTCAACGAGCTGCAAACAAAAAAAGAGACAGTGCCGTACTGGTGCCATTGGTGCATTCCGAAGGCACACCATCAATTTTGTTCACGCATCGCTCGATGCTACTGCCCGATCATCGTGGCGAAGTGTGCTTTCCTGGTGGACGTATGGAACCTGGAGAAACATATGAACAGGTGAGCAGCGGATTTTTTGTACACTGTTGAATACTGTTTTCCTGTATTTCTTGTTACTTAGTTCTCCCCCAACCTGCTTTTTCTTGAACCACCATTGGTGATATCGCGGAAAACTCGTGAAAAGCCGGCCAAGAAGCTGCGACAAAGAAAAAATAGAGAAGAAAAGAAAGGTGTGTCTTGCCTTGAAAGGCAGGAGCATAGCAGATGTGCTGCCAGGCTGAGCAAGAGCACAAAGACCGGTGGTGTAGTGGTAACATATTGCGCTCGGACGTGAACGGGAGCGGTTCGATCCCTTCTTGGTCCAGGACAATTTTCGAAAAGAGCCCCGTTCACCGTAGGGTGTTAATAGTTCGCACATTTTTCTCCTTTCGACTACTTTCCGATGTAGCTAATTACCGTACTGAAAATGTATGATATCCTGCTGTTTAGGCAGCACTACGTGAAACGGAAGAGGAAATCGGTTTGAATGCAGATCGAGTGGAAATTTGGGGGAAGCTGAGACCGGTACTAACTCGACATTTCACGAGTACCGTAACGCCCTGTGTTGGTTTAGTACGAGAAGCCGATTTAAGCGACATACGAGCGGGCTGTGATGAGGTGCAAACAGTTCTTGCTGCACCAGTTGAAGAACTCTGCTCTAGGCAATTCTACACTCATTTCAAAAGAGGTAAGAACTTTCTTGGCAAAAAATGGTACTGCTCATGGCCTCTGCTAGTATAAGTAAAAAATGAT